ATCTGGATAATTGGTATCCTAGAAGGTGAAGAGACTCATAAGGGTATTGGTAATCTATTCCATTAAATCCTGCAAGAAAACTTTCCAAACCAAGAAGCAGTCAAAGATCCAGTCCCAAGAAATACAAAGGACCCCAAATAGAATCAACCCAAGAAAATCGTCTCCAAGACACATTATAGCTAGATTGACCAAAAACACAGACAAAAATACTTCGATTGGCAAGAAAAAAATGGCAAGTTACCTACAAAGGCTATCCCATCAGGCTAACAGTGGACCTCTCATCAGACACAATCTGGGATAGGAAACAATGGGAAAATATAGTCAAAGTGTTAAGGGAAAAGCAATTTCACCCAAGAATACTATATCTGGCAAGATTATCCTTCATATGGGAAGACAAGACAAGAACATTCTCAGATAAACAAAACCTGAAAGAATTTATCAACACCAGACCAGATCTCCAAGAAGTTCTCAAGGGAATGCTATACCAGTTAAATTAAATACAGTCATACAGAAATAAGAGTTCAAAACCTAAGAAAATGGCCAACTTAATCATAGGGATAAGTCTGGAGTTGAATATTATATCTCAGAATTTAATCGGAAAAATCTAACGACAACTGAAGATAAAGTACACGAGACTGATTTGGTGAAATAGAATTTTATGACTTTTGACTAAAATATTGCTGATGTCCTTCTAGGCTTTGTTTTCCAGTTTTAAGGATTTGTGTTCTGTCTTGAGCTGTCAATAGGTTCATGTACTTACCATTTGAACAGAATCCTAACCTGTTTCTTGGTTTTAAGCAAAGTTCCATAGCATTTCTTTGTTTAAGTTAAAATTGCTTTTCTTGAAATTACTAAGTGAACTTGCTATTAAAAGTAGTTAGATTATTTAAGAAATTGTGTCATCAGTACAATATGGGGGTGGGGGGAAAGGAATGGAAGACAACTGTAGACACCAGATATAGTGTGAGAAGTGTGTGGGAAAGGGCAGAGGGTCAGAAATATATATGTATGTATATTTGTATAAAATGAAACTGGAAATGGAACATTTTTGATGGCATGATTAAGCCACTATGCACTATGTTCTGGATGGGAAATCACATTTCATATGCTGTGACAGTGCTTAGGGAATGAATGTAAATTAAGTTAAAAAAAAGTTTCAGCAAAAAAATTTTCAGAATTATAGGACACTTGTGACCTATAATTTGAGCTTTGTCATATTTTTAGTTTAACATATTTTGTGAATCAATAAAATATGGAAAAAAGTTTAGTATAGAAAGGAGAGAGGGGGAAGGAAAAAAGTATGCTTAATTGAGAAAAAATGAGAAGCTATTGGCTGATAAGTTATAGAGAAGTATCTTTGGTTCGACTGACATGCATAGTATTTGTGCTGGAAAAAGAAATGTACAATGTAAAGATGTGATTAAATGTAAATAAATAAATAAATAAATAAATATTTTAAAAAGAGAAAGAAAAGTCACAGGGAGACAGTGAGACAGAGAGAAATGGAGAGAAAGAGACAGAGGGAGCCCTACCCAGTAGAAATGCATCTGGAGGGAAAAGTATCAGCAGAAAATCTTCATTTCTGGTCAAGAAAAGCAATCTTTCACAGCTCAAGTTCAGTATCCATCTCAGGATCAAAAACTACAAATTTATAATCACATGAAAAGTTTTGAATGGCACAATAAATTTGAAGTGGGTGAACTCCAATTTTGTTAAGCTATGAGTATAGAAATGAAAATTGTCTGAAAAAGAGAAGACTATATTTTAAGATTTTTACATAATGAGTTTGTTAATTATATGTGGTCCTTGCACTGTTTTTATTTTGAAATATCTTTTACTGGATTAGAGCAGTATGATGCAGTTTATGATGCAGTTTATTATTCCATTGTAAATAATGTAAAATAGGCTCCTATAATTTTCGTACTCAACTAATGGCTTTAAGAATTGACATTATATGGGAAATACTCAAATTCTTATTAACCATTTGAAGTCACATAATCCACAGAAATGTTTAAGATAAAACGAGGCATGGGGGACTGGATGGTGGCATGGTGATTAAAGGCGTTGTACTCTCACAGGGCTGATTATGGTTCATGTCCCGAATGTGGTGGCTTGTTTTCTCATTCCTCCCCCCCCCACACACACTCTCTCTCTCTCTCTGGTCAAATTAAAATGATAAATAAATAAAGTTAAAATAATTCTTAAAAAAAAAAAAAAAAGCATGGTAGGGACCAGTTGGAGGTATAGTGATTAAGGTGCTAGATTCTCACTTAATTGACCATGGTTTGAATCCTAACACTGACAGTTTGAAAATAATGGTAGGTGTTTTTGTGCGTTTGTGCTCAAAATCCTAAGAGGAGTCTGGAGGAGAAGGGATTGCAGCAGGGACATCAGCCCTAGGGATAGATCTTTTGTGCTCTCTCTCTTCAGCAAGTGCACATGCTCAGTGGCAAAAACAAACAACCAAACAGAAGACATTTTTAAGATAAATATTTTTTGGTTTTAAGAGATTTTTGGTCTAGGGCATGTGAGCTTACTGCAGACAGACAGACAGACAGACAGAGAGAGAGAGACAGAGAGAGAGAGAAACTGAGAAATCACAACTCTCCCCAGAAGGGATGGCCACTCTCAGGATTTTAGGCATGCACACATGCACACCCAGCATGAGTTTATGAGTTTTAAGTTCTCAGGTCCAGGACTCAAATTGTGGTTGGTCAATCTCTCACCTGCCAGCCCCAAGACAAAATATTTTGAAGCACTGTTGGTTCCAAGTTGACGTCAGGGTCCCCAAATTGATCTCAGAAATAAATGAAGAGTTGTTTGGAATCAATTGTGTCAAAATAGAAAACACTAATCAAAAAGTCAGCATGCCTGAAAACTATCATGTGACTCTGGGGAAGTTACTTATCTCCTGAAATCCAATTTTTTTTTTTTTTGAGAGGTTTTTTCGCTATAGGGCGCGTGCACTCGCCAGACAGACAGAGAGAGACATAGAGACAGAAAGCGAGAAATCACCCCCCAGAGGGGATGGTCACGCCGCAATCCCTTCTCCTCCATTCTCCTCTCGGGATCCTGGGCACGCACGCACACATGCCCGGCGTGAGTTTTAAGCCACCGGGTCTGGGACACGAACCGCGGTCGACTACGTGGGAGTCCAGCGACAGAGCTAACTGCTGGTTTCCCTGAAATCCAAAATTTTAAATCTATCTTATAGGCAGAAATATCTTGATAAACTCTTCCCAAACTACCAGGGCAAACTATCAGGATAGAAATCAGCAGCCTATTTCTAGATACCGAATTTGATGGCAGACTAGGATTTAAAGACCTCAGATTCTAAATAATCAAGGAGTGGACACTTACGGAATTGGAACCTGTTTAGAAAGCACTCTAGATAGATCTTCTCAGATGTGACAGAGTATTTGCCACAGACACACATCTTAAAGACTCCTTTAATAAGTAACACTTCCTAGACTCTACCCTACTCAACACAACAGACCTTCTTTCCCTTCTGAATGCAGGTCTAAACATTCCACAGAATAACACCCATTTGTTGATAGTTTTAGAGGGCAGTAACATTCAAATCTGTTCACTCCAGGCAGTGAGAAAAGTAATTGTGTGCATCAGTGCTAGGATCTTCCTCTTTGAAATACTAGTGAGAGTTAAGGCCATAGCAATGTTCTTTCAGGTGGGATGATTCCTTTTTTTTTTTGGAGAGATTTTCACTGTAGGGCGCGTGCGCTCGCTCGCCAGACAGACAGAGACAGACATAGAGACAGAAAGAGAGAAATCACCCCCCAGAGGGGATGGTCACGCCGCAATCCCTTCTCCTCCATTCTCCTCTTGGGATCTTGGGCACACACGCACACGCGCCCGGCGTGAGTTTTAAGCCACCGGGTCCGGGACACGAACCGCGGTCGACTACGTGGGAGTCCAGCGACATAGCCATTACGCTAACTGCTGGTTCCCAGGTGGGATGATTCCTTTTCATAGGACACCCTCCTTGACACTGTAAAACCTACTTCAAGCTAAAGAAAAAATCATCAACCAGTTCCCCTATGTCTTAGGAAACCAGGTTTTACACAAACTTCTCTGAACCCAAAAAGAAGTGCTATACTAGCTTTTAAATTCAGAAGGGACACCAAGAAACCCCAGAAACATATCTGTCAGTAAGTTTCGGTCTCTGCGCACTTCACAGTGATTTCTCTGGAAATCTGTTATTACCGCAGTAGTATTCCTAATATGCCCAGTTTAAAAACGGGTAAACAACTTCTCAAAAAACCAAACATACCCCTCGCCCCAATTCCTCCTTGGTAACATTATTTTCCAGGACCTCTCCCTTATTAGGAGCTGTTTTTCTTTCCCTTTCTTCCTGCTTTGCGATACCTACTCTCCGTGTCTGAGTTTCTATTTCTTCGAGTGTGTGTCACTCTGGACACCCGGGCGCCCTGTGTTTGTGCATCAAATTCACACCCAACCCTCATGTGTTCTGGTAGCCTCCCCCTCCCTGACCATCTCCTCCCACTTCGTTTGCAAGGCTTTTGGAAACACGTTTTGTACGTGCGGACACGCACCGGCCTCTATCACCTCACCGTCTTAACAATCATTAACCTCACAGAGGACCGGGACCTGTGGACCCCACAGTTAAAGTCGCCCTCTCAGATGTCGCCCGGTCCAAGCACTCGTACCTGCAGGACCTTATTCTGCCGTCCGAGATCCCTCTGTATTTCTGCTCCCACAACAGTGCGGCTCCCCGGAGTCCCCCGTAGCCAGGGAGCGCTTCTCTCACCCTTCACTAACATTCAGGGACAGGGACAGGGATAGGGACAGCAAACGACCCTAAGGAACCGGTTCCGAAAGGGGCAACAAAAGCAACTTCTGACTCAAGATGGCGGCAGGCAGCGCATGCGCAGAAGGAAACAGAAGGGTTCCTGGGCCACGTGACCTGAGGGCGGGACTTCATTTCCCACAAGGCTCTGCGCGAATCCCTCAGCAACCGGCGTCCTAAACTTCCTCTGTTCGCCAGGAAGCACTCTCGCTGCCTGTGGACCGTGGCGTCGTAGGTAAGTACCTTCACTGACCTCGTGGTAGCGATATGTAGTTCGGCTTCCTTATTAAATCCCAGTTTTACTACCTTACACAATATGGGGCGAATGTGGAGATTTGAATAGTGTTGAATGATTTGAAATGATTAGGTTTCATTTTATGTTGGTTAAAGTATTTCAGTTATAGGATCCATGACTATATTTTCAAATGCATTCTTTCTTTTAAAAAGAACTACTTATTTACTTTTTATTTGTTATTGTTTTTATTACTGTTAACTACAGGGCACACACATTCGCCAGACAGAGACAGAGAGAGGGATAGTGAGAAAGCAAGTCACCAGGATACCATGATGGCCATTGGGAGTCCAGCGCCTTCTGCGGGCCCCACAAATGCATTTAAATTGTGAGGAGTCATGTCTGTACTTTGCTTATTAATACGGAGTAAATTAATATGTGAACTCTTTTCTTGAAGCTATTAAGATGTTTGGTTGCACCCTTTAAACTATTGCACATTTTCAATAGATTATATTACTCATTTGGATGAACTTTTTCCTATTTATAGGCGAATGAAATAATAGGGTCATGGGCTAGAAGGTAACCTGGTGGTTGAGACGCTGGACTCCCATATGACCGTCTGCAGTTAGAGTCCCGGACCTTTTATCTTGCTTTCTCACCTTTCCGTTTTTCTCTCTCTCTCTCTGGTCAAATTGAAAAGTAAATAAATAGGTAAAATAAAATAAATTTTTTTTTTTGAGAGGATTTTGCTATAGGGCGCATGCACTCGCCAGAGAGACAGAGGCAGAGAGACAGAAAGCAAGAAATCACTCCCCAGGGGGTTGGCCACCCCATAATCGCTTCTCCGCCTTCCTCCTCTCTGGATCTTGGGCACACATTAACACACGACTGGTGTGAGTTTAAGCCATTGGGTCCAGTACTCAAACTGCTGTCGACTACATGGGAGTCCCATGGTATAGCCATTATGCTCAGTGCTGGTCCCAATAAAGTAAATCTTTAAAAAAAGAGAGAGAGAGAGAGAGAGAGAAACTATATGTTCTTAGGGCAGTTCCAGTTTATAATCCCTTTTTTAGTTTACTTTTCATTATTTGTCCAGGAACTCCTAAGTTCCATTTATCCATCTATCACTCACTAAAATTTTTAACTGGGGGAGATGTTTCTCTTTTTTCCCCAACATGTGGTGAATCTAATTTTTGCTTTTGCTTTCCTGATGTCTGCCACCAACTAGGTAACAGATTTCATAGAGGTTTCTCAGAGCTTCCACTGTCACTTCTGTTTTCTTTCTTTTAAGAGGTTTTTGCCTTTCAGCATGTGCTTGCTGGGGGTGGAGAGAGAGAGAGAGAGAGAATGAGAGAGAAAGAGAAAGAGAGAATGAGAAATCATCCCCTGTTGGAATGGCCATACCACAATGCAGTCTCGTCCATAGTCCCCCTGGGATCTTGGGTATGCACTCAACGTACCCAGTGTGATTTCAAGACACTGGGTCTGAGACTTGAACCACAGTGGACCATGTTGAAGTCCAGTGACGTAACCAATATGCCATCTGCTGGCACTCCATTATCACTTCTGCTCTTCTGTTCTCCTATCATCCAGGTTGATAATGGTTTGAGTATGGGATGGCAAAAGTGAGGAAAGTTTGGGGATGGGAGTATAGGGGATGTAAAAGGCTTGACATTTGCTCAAGCTCTTATTCTTTTTCTGATACATGCCTTGCCTTGTTTATTGTTCTTCTTTGGTTAAACAATTGTCTTTTAGTGACTCTAGTCTGCAGATTCAGGAAGCTCATCCTTGGTTTTACAAGACTCCCCCATTGCCTTAAACTTTGGAATTCCTGGTCAGCCTTACTTAGACGTTTTGATGCCAGATCTCTCTCTTAAACACTACTGACATGATATCAAAGATATTTAAATACAGGATGATTGACATTGATTGGGTAAGAAGAGGCTGCTTTATATTCTGACATCTAGGATAGGAATTGTCATTCCTTTTATTGTGGGCCTCAGTCTTCCATACACAAAAATGGAGATTTTAGTATACAGTAGGATATATAGACTCCATTGTGAACCCATATCTCTGTAATAACGTAAAGGCCAAGAATGTGATGTCTTTCTCCCCCCTATGAAAGTAAAGTCCACAGACCCAAGGAGAGGGGCTCAGGGTTGATATGAAGTGTTTCCAGCATAGCCTTATATTGTAGATCTCAGTGTTCAAGTTTACGCCTTTTAAAACAATTCCCAGAGAACAATGAAATACAGAATGAAAATAGAAGAGGCAGAATGAAGAGTGGGATTTGAATGTCCCATGGGAAACAGTGAATGGGAATATCTTTTTTAAGAATTATTTTTACTTAACTTTATTTATTTAAATTTGACCAGAAGGGGACAGAGTGAGAGAGCGAGAGAATGAGAAAGGAAGCCACCAGGTCTGGGACTGGAACCACGGTTGACCATGTGAGAGCCCAGCGCCCTAACCACCACACCACTCACTGGCCCGAATGGGAATTATCTTAACAGGAGGGAATCTGGCTAGGACCATCCTTAAGAATAACAATTGGGGACCAGCAGTTAGTGTAATAGCTATGTCGCTGGACTCCCATGTAGTCGACCGTGATTCATGTCCTGGACCTGGTGGCTTAAAACTCACGCAGGGCATGTATGCATGTGTGCCCAAGATCCTGAGAGGAGAATGGAGGAGAAGAGATTGTGTCGTGGCCATCCCCTCCAGGGGGTGATTCCTCACTTTCTCTCTCCCTCTCTCTCTCTGTCTGGCAAGCACATGCACCATTTAGCAAAAACCTCTCCAAAAGAAAAAAAAATAACAATTGTGGAAGCCCCTGGCTTGTGCTTCTGAACCATCTGTCTTTCTACTGTATAATGAACACCTCAGTCATGTAGAAATGTGAGCGACTGCACCTGCTGATTCCAAATACTCTGTTGCTTGTTTAATTTTGCAAAATACTAAGCTTCTAATTTTTTCTGCCATTTTACTAAACACTAATCACTAATATTATTGATGTAAGCTGTTTGGCAGGTCACTTTATACATTGTCACATGGGATCTTCTTAACATTTCTAAAATGTGTTAAACCATTTTACAGAGTAGACTTCGGATTCATGTAGGGCAAACATTCTGACATTTGTTGAGACGCAGACCATAGATATTGCTTATTTTGGCATGAGTGTAAATTTATTCAAGTTTGATGAGGAATATACTTTAATTATGTACTTATGTTAAAAATTTAGGGTGAGCAATCTGAATGCTAGAACAAGCTTTTTTCTTTTTTAAGAATTATTTTATTTATTTATTCATTTATTTAAATTTGACCAGAGAGGGACAGAGTGAGAGAGAGAGAGAGAAAACATGCCGCCGGGTTCAGGACTTGAACCATGGTCGGCCACATGGGAGTCCAGTGCCCTTAACTACTATGCCACCTGCTGGCTCCAGAACAAGTATATTTATAGGAAATGTTAAGATTATTTCACAAAACACTGTAATAATACTCATTAGTGAAATTGAGTACTCAATATGTGAATATCTATGTCAGTATATGTGAAAGGTGACACGCCTGGTCAGCACAGACATATTTGACTTGAGCAACAAACAGAATTTTAATTGCTATGTATGTAGCATATAGCATCCCTTCCTTAACATTGTTGTGTCAACCATCCTCCTCGTTCACTGGCAGGGATGGACCTGGCTGAATCGGAAGGCCATAATGTTTGAGGAATTAATGACATTCACAGATGTATCTCTAGACAAAACCAGGAATAGTGGACCTTACTATTGATAAATCCGATAGAATTATTTTTTATTTTGGAGAGGTTTTTTTTTTTTTTTTTTTTTTTTGCTTTAGGGTACATGCGCTTGCCAGAAAGACAGAAAGAGACAGAGAAACAGAAAGCAAGAAATCACCCCACAGGGGGAATGGCCACGCCACAGTCCTTTCTCCATTCTCCTCTCTGGATCTTGGGCACTCACACACATTCACCCAGTGTGAGTTTAAACCACCGGGTCCTAGACTCGAACCATGGTCGACTACATGGGAGTCCACTGACATAGCCATTACGCCAACTGCTGGTCCCAGATCCCACAGAATGTTTTTTAGAAATATGATGCTGTGGAAGCTAACCAAATAAAATTGTATGGAGCACATAAAATTAATTTAATAGTCAAGAATGAAGCATCATCATTTTAATGTAAAAAGCAATTCAACGTCAGTGTTGAGAAGAAAACAATTTGCAATATCAATCTGATATATTTTTCTATTTAGAATGTAGATTATAAAGATAATTTATATTGGTCTATTAATTAAGTTGAACCACACACTCTCCTTGGCTGTTCACACTCTCCTTGGTTGTTATTAGCTGTTTTGAGGCACTTAGGTTAATGTAGATTGTCAGAAATTTTGGGAATATCTATTATCCTTTAAAATGTATTCTTGTATATAGGATTAATACATTTGTAGGCATCTGATAAAACCACCTTCAGTGCCCCCTCTCGTATATTGTCAGATGTGCAGGTAATCATACAACAAAGAAATAAAGGGATGTGGCATCAAAAGAGTGTACAAATAAGTTGCAATCCCTTTGGCCACAATCAAATTTCAACATATCTCAAATGAGTATGGGAATGAAGTAAATCAGGGCGACTAGAGAGGAGAGATCAGGGAACTAGAGAAGAGACTCCCCTTCAGCCAGTCACCTGATTATGTTGACTTTTTTCTATTTTTCTACTCCTTTCCTAGGATTCTGTTGGAAATTTTGGAGTAACTTCCTCTTCTGCTCTTCTTGCCTTCACTTAAGAAGTATGTTAAGTAGATGGACCCAAATTCATTTTCCAACAAATAAACTTTTTTTTAAAAGAATTATTTATTCAGTTGTATTTGTTATTACTCTTTTTAAATGCGACCAGAGAGACAGAGAGTGAAAGGGAAAGTCACAAAGCAAGCCTCCCAGTCTGGGACTCAAACTGGGGTCAGGTGGTCATCACACCACCTGATGGTCC